TCCACTGACACCCAGTGGAGGCTGGTCCCCGGCCGGGAACCAGACCCTTGTCGGCCACGCTGAAGATGGCAGTTCTACCCACCCGAGTTCCCAATGCCCCACCTGATGATGGTGCTCTCCCACTCCGAGCGCGGTGTGCCCTTCACATCCGTTAAGAGTGTGTATGCACGCGGAGGCTGGCCGCCACGGAGGGACTGCAGGCCTCGCTGGCGCTCCTCCTCCCCCCTGCACTCCTCCTAGCGTTTCTTCTGAACCGCACAAGCCGGAGAGCTAAACACCACGGCTCCCAGGTTCCCTAGTGCTGGGCATCTGAAATGAACGTTCCACCAAACAGATATTCTTGTGCAAGACGTACCTTCAGAGCGAAGTTAGCTGCAGAGCCTCAGTCTAGCTGTCGCCAAGGAGGACAGAAGCGGGGGCTCTGTGATGAGCGGCTTTCTGCTTCAGCCATTCCTGAAGCTTCCCGGATCTTGAGCAGAAGTCGTGTGATTCTGAACGCTGGGGACTGATTGCTCCAGGCCTTAGAGCCTGCTTCTTACTCCTTTCTGCTTAAACTGCCCAGGGCTATTTCTGCTGTCTGCCGCTCCGCTCCGCAGCACAGCGGTGGGTCTCCGGGGCTTACTCTGGCCACAAGAAGTCCAGACTCAGGGATGGCTGGATGACCAACTTGGTGATGTAAGGGTCTTCCCTGTGACGCTCTGGACTTGTCCGCGTGGTTATAGGAAGGCTGCTGGATCTGCAGCCGTCACATCCGCTTTCTGGGAAGAAGGAAAGAAGGGGTGCACCCTGCATTTTTGGTCAAGAAATCGATTTTCCAAGGAGACCAGCTCATCAGACTTTGGGTTTTATTTCGTTGGCCCAAAGTATGTTCCATGGTCATATCCGGCTGCAATGTGCTGGGAGAGAAGGGCAGTTGTGGATCGGACGGTCTCCTCCAGTCCAGTGGATCTCAGCCTTCCTCATGCCGCGCCCCTTTCATACAGCTCCTCATGGGGTGGGGACACCCCCACCATAACATTATTTTCGATGCCACTTCATCGCTGTCATTTTGCTGCTGTGATGAATCAGGCGACCCCTGTGAAAGGGTCGTTCGACCCCCCAAAGAGTCGTGACCCACAGGTTGAGAACCGCGGCTGTAGTCGGTGATGTTGGCCACAAAACCTAGTACGCTTCTTTCTCACTGCTGCAGAGGATCCCCCCACGCACCCACCACGGCAGGCACTCATCCATTGTCGGGGATGGTCACCCAGGGTTGCCTCCAGCTTCCTGCCGCTACGTCCTTATACACGCCTGCCACCCTGTGGTCCCTGGGTCATGGGACACATGCAGGCTCACTGTCAGCTTGTTCTCTATTACTTATGACATATACCCTGTCTCCCCGAAAATAAGACAGTGTCTTATGTTAATTTTTGCTCCCAAAGATGCACTAGGCCTTATTTTCAGGGGATGTCTTATTTTTCCCATGAAGAAGAATACGGTCCATATTTACTGTTGAACAACAAAAAAAAGGAAATTTATTACCCGTATACAGCACGGCAGTCGTTGTCATCACAAAGCAGCATAACCAGACAAACTGTGAATCCTACAGTATCAAGAATGTCTTGTTACGACCATTGTTTCCATGTACAACAATCTATGGTACATTGACTCATAATCTATGTGGTACATTGACTCGCACTTCCTGTCTGCTCCAGCTGCGCTGCGGCCAACAGTGAGCTGCACGGTGGCACCCACCACGACGGTCCAGAGTCCAGAGTTACGGTAGCTTCGGGGGGACCTTATTATTAGGGAGGTCTTATTTGGGGGGGTGCCTTATATTTCAGCGAGAGGCAAAACTGTAAGTAGGCCTTATTTTCAGGGGATATCTTACTTTCGGGAAAACACGGTACTTCTGTGTCTTGTGTGAGAAGGCTTCCTTCCAAAGTCATAAAGATCTTAATTTGTAAGCTAATTCTGAATTTTTAAATACTCAGGCTTCCATTTATCTAGACTGAGCATTTGCATGTGGTGTGAAGAAGGGGTCAGCCAGTTTTTCTCCCTTTAGTGAACCAATCTTGGTTTATTTTTATTTTTAGTGAGCCAAACTTCTGGACACTTGTTTCTCCTCTGCTTTGTGACAGCGTGTTTATCATTTTGGAAGGAGACTTTCAGTTCTCCTTTTCCATTCCATCGTCCTATTAAACGGTTCCTCTGCCGATGAGTTTATGTCGCTAGCTTCCCAGTCTGTCTAGTCTGTCTGACCACCTCATAAAGTGAGTTCTCCATATATGATCTTTTTTGATGTGTTATTTTTATTCTTTTATATAAAGAGAAAT